ATATTTTTTTCAAAATTAACATATATACAATGGAATGTCAATTTTAACTTAGTCTATTATATATACGGTGGCACTAACATACGTAAGAAATAATAAACTTAACAACAAACATGTATGGTAGAAGGCCATTGGGTATTAAAATATTTAAGTATTCTTCTTGGTAGTAATTATTGGTATCATTTTCTACTGGGTCAAAAACTGAAAAATATTTTATTTTTATTATAAAATTTTGCAATCAACCTTTTACTTAGTTGATCAACATATTCATTTCTGCTAGATAAGATATCTTTTTAATTCTATCATGCGATTTGCACAAATTACGTTTTAATATACTGATAGAAATATTTCTCTTATTAAATGCACTACTATTACTATTGGGATTGATAACCAAGTGTTGAGAAAAAACCAAATCATCTTTATTGGATGCTCTTCTTCGTTTTCGACACGAAGCAAGAAGACACTGAATACTGGATCTGTTCTTACTTTATATTTCTTGTCAGTTGAATCATTTTCACTTGAGGCCACAAGTATAACTTTGCAAGCTAGCTTTTACAATCTCTTTTGTCGATTTTGGAACTACTGGTAGTACTTGACAGAAATCACCTCTCAAACCACTAAGTTTCCATAAAACGGTTCATTAATAAGAACTCCGGATAATTATTTCGATCGTTTGACACTTTTCCATAAGTGCTTCATCCCATATTATAAATTTTGCTTTCCTTATAAATTTAGCAGCATTGCTCTGCTTTGATATATTTGCGATGGTTATTTAAGTTATTTGAAGAGGTATATCAAATATAAAGTAGGTGGCCTCACAATAAAATCGTTGTTGATATACCACTTGCTATTATTGCTAACAGTGTCATGCCTCTTGATATGATATTTGCAAGTAATGCATGACATAGAAATATTATTTCGATTCCATCGGAGGTATCTACAAAGAATAATCTCGTTATACCAGAGTCGACTCTTTATAATATAGTCTTGAAAGCTTGTTCTTGATTAGGATTTAGTTTTGATTGTGCTTCCTCAATCACTTGTATATCATTTTGATTCTTAATTACATACTAACCTTTTTTACTTTGTGTTCTAACGCTCTTTTTATGGAATAAATTTATGTATACTCCATTTTTTTTATTTAACTTGAATAAGAATTTTACTCATATGATGAATTTAAAAAATAACTGAATTGGATTCTCTTGATAAATAATTAATTAAAAGATTTAATTATTTGGTTTTAACATAAAAATAATTTATTCTATGTTGATTCAGATCTTAATTTTAGTTCATCTCTTGTTTTGAATATTTAATCTTAATTATAATTTTATCCACTATAAATTTTATTTTCAAAGAGTAAAAGATTGATATGACATTTCACTTTTAGATCTTTATGTTTGTAGAATCATTAATGGTATTGACTCTTAACAACCATTTTTTTGCTCTTTCTCATATATTTATATTCTTAAATATTTTCTTAGTTGCATGTTTAATAATTGGATATTTTTTAATATTACACAAAAAAAAATTGATAAAAAAATATTTTTGAGTAGAAAAATAGTTCAAATATAATATAAAAATATATTATCGTGGGGTTATTTTTTTCTCAATTTTAACTCTTTATGTTGTCCATTTAAATTATTATTTTTTGTATTGGACATTATGGAGTGGTAATGTATTGCCAATACGGAGGATTCTTATGAAATTGACTTTATTAAACCTTCCTACATATTTTTAATAAGAATTTAATAGATAAAATTTTATTAATTTTAAAATCTTAAATATTAAAAATTAACAAAGACGGTATTGTAATCCAAAAATAGGTTATTGCAGTTATGTCATTTCCCTATGAGTTCTTCCGCTTAATATTTTTGGGCTATTTTGGTATATTAATATTGTATTTATGCTTTTATAATAAAATAGGCTCTCCTTTTTCTAAATGGATTTGGACAATATAATACATTCTCAAATTAAATTAGTAATAGGACATTATAATACGTTTTCGAATTAAATTAGTAATAGAAATTTTTAAGAAGTATATCCTAAAAGTAATAGGATTAAATGACTAAAGATATTTACTTATTCAATTTTATATGAATTAGACCGTCCGAAAGTAATTAAACTAATTGAATTCCTAAAGGTAATCATGTAGGATTCCTAACGTGTAGTATTATGTCCTAAAACCAATAGGATTATAAAACTAATATCTAGAATTCCGGTTATGTCCTTTTATTATGAGTTATTATGCTTAATATTATAAGGTTATTTTTATAAACCGACATTGAATTCATGCTTTTATAATATTATATATAGATAGATAGATATAGATATAGATAAAAGAAATAAAAGCGACTTTTTCAGTGAAATATCAAAAGATGTAAATAAATTTTCTGATACAAAAGAAAGAAAAATAAATTTATTCACCTATTTCCAATAGTTAAGTGACCTTCTAGGTAATAAACTCTATTTCTAGCCAAGAAGATCAAATATTTTCTTTTTTTTTTCTTTTCGTACGTGAGTAGATAAATATAAGTTTATTCAATTTTAATCGAACTAAAATACCTTAATAAAAGATCATCAAATTAAACGTTACAAAATTAAAATATAAGCTTTACTAAAATTTGTCTGACGATAAGTTAAGTATACGTGTGCAACAGTCCGTGGCTTTGAAAATGTCGGTTGTAGGACGGCTATACAAAAATAAAGATTTTAATCTGTTTGGACAATGTTAATCGATGTGTAAGCGACAAAGATATTCATTTCTCAAAAAAAAAAAAAAAAAAAAAAAAAAAAAAGAGAGAGAGAGAGAGAGAGAGAGACATAATCCGATGCTGGTCTTAGGAAATGAATTTACAATGGTGGTCGGTTTAGTCCTAACAAATAAAATAGCTTACGAGGATGAAGTAGTTGTTTAACGATTATATATTTAAATAAATAAAATCTAATCAACATGTATTAGGTAAGACTGCAATTACAATTATGGAGATGATGTGGAATTGAAGCTACACTTCTCTCTCTCTCATATTTTTGGTGGTCACACTCTAGTTTAATGGTAGCTTTAACTTTAGTAGGATAATCGTGTACGTACTACGTGGTTTAACTCGTGTGAATGTTTGTGTCTCTGTCAATTTCACTACTTCGAATCATTTCAATTGAAGCAAAAACTTAACAAACAACTACATAATGACTATATAGTCGGCAAAGTATATATGATAGTAAATTAAGAATTGTGGAATGAACATTTTGTTAAATGTTTTTAAAGTTTTAGTTAATTTAAACCAGTAGATATTGTTTTATGTAGGTACGTGGATCTTCTATTGCAAATCCACCCCATTAAATAGGAGTAGCAGCCGGTAAGAAGAAGATGAGGGAGAGATGTTGAAATTGGATGCTATAAATCTACCCTTCTAAATGGTTTAGTAGTGACGTACACATGAAACCGATATTCAAACACACAATGGAAATGCGTCTTTTTCTAACAATCTGTGGCTACTTTCTTTCGGCCGAGATAGAAGCATGATTTTCAACAAGAAGATTTAAAAAATATAAAAAATAAATATATAAAGAACTTAAGGGAATTCAACATTTAATATATATACATAAAAAAAAATTAATCTTACACGGTATAATGTTCGACTTACAAGGTTTGGCTGAACTAACTCCCACATGGCTTCATTAGGTAGAAGAAAAATGAATTCTAGACACATCCGTAAGTATGCACACGTGTTTCTTAATCTCATTTTCAATCCTAAAATATTAAAAAGAAGAATTTGAAAGAAAAAAAATGTTAGGTATTTAGTTTGTTTTATAGTGAAAGGTTCTTGCCATTCTGTCGTCACAATGCATCCAAATCTGAAATCACCACGTACACTAACGAAAACTAACATGATTAATATTACAAGAAATTATTTAACTTTTTGTGGATGTGACAGAGACAACCCTACAGTAAAACGTGTAAAATATTATATTTTCACAGTGTTAGTAGAAAATCTAAAACTTAAATTTCTAAGTTTTGCTTGACTGCTTGTAATTTCAAGTTTACAAAGAAGGTACCTACTAATCCAATTATACAACTACCAATTTGTGGATGTGATGGAAAACCATAGTCCCATCTTCTAGTTCTAGGGAACATGCAAGTATTTTCACCGAATGGCCTTTTTAAGGCTTAGTGTTTAACTTTTGTACCTGTTTATAGAAGTAGCCACTATAGGTACCTGCCAGAATTTCTCCTCTTTTTTCTCCTCCTCCCTATTCTTCTCCTTCTTCCTCTTTATCATTCTTCTTCTAACAATAAATTATGAGCACACAACTTATAAAATTGTTAAAAATTGAGATATGTTATAAAAATATTGAAGACCTATTACTTTATTTGTGTTTAGAATCAGATGGTAATATTCCGTTGAGCCTATATCCATAATTAATTTGATTTGGTTAGGTTGAAAAGAATTGAAGAACACAATTGTTGAGATTGGAAAAAATCTTTTTGAAGAAAAAAAAACAGATATATTTATTTTTCAAGGTTGAATAGAATTTAACTATTAAAAATTATCGATATTTGAAGTCATTTGAACCAATTTACAAAATTACGACACAATTTATATTAAAATCCTTGTGATCCGCTAGGACCGTGGAAGACAAGTCTTTATCCCTCCATCCGAACTTTTGGCGATCCATCAAGATTTGCCACACTTCTAAATCACAAGCTTCAAATTTTGACCCGCAAGTTATTTTTGCCAAGCTTATTTAAATGGGATTAAAACTTAAATAGTGTAACACGGAAATAGCCTATTCGCGCAAACTCGTATACAAAATCTAATATTAAAATGTTAAGTAAGACCAATGCCAGTATTATTATGATTTATCAAAAGAAATCCGCGTGCCGAGTGGTCTCTTATTATCCGAAGGTCAAAACATCAATTATTGTGTGTACGCACTGGCACTGTGTGTGTGTTAAACTGATTAATGGTACAAAAAGAACACGTAACAAATAGGAAGTTATACAATTTGCACAACAATTGAATGATATTATTGCAAACTTAAAATTTACAAGTCTAAACAAATAGTGTCAAGAAGACAATTCAAATGATGCCACAAGAAACCATTAAGGTATCTTTGCTGATCTCTTGTGAACTAAATAAATGAAACCAAATAATTCACATGCTGCAGCTTAACTGTTTCTGTCTAACCTGTATTTCCTAGACAAAAACTATGATTTCATCTATATGATTCTGTATATACTAAACTCTATATATAGTTATATATTTACATTTTAGCTGAACTTATATATTTGTAATCTTGTCACATAATAGAGCAACCGTTAGGATTTTCATCACTGAACATTTGAGGCGCTGTTAAGTATGGTGGGGGCACATAGCCAGTATGATCATAATCTTGGCCTGTAACCATTTGATGATTGTGCATTGCCAAGCCATAATCAGCTTGATCCATGTAATTGTGATTGTAAATTGGCATTGCATAGTACGTATTTGGAGTAGTGTAACCATAGTATTCCATTTTGTTGATCACCTCTGTCTTTTGCTCTATACTTGCCACTTTTAATTCACCATCTTTCTTTGGTGTAACAACATCTATGTTCCTCTTCAATTTATCTTTCAAGTAAGATGATGTTAGCTCCTTTACGTCCATTGTTCCCTTCACTGTCACCAAATCTTTTTCTAGAGATACACTCACTTCTTCCACTCCTGTATAAGGGTAAACGGAAAAGCAATCAACTACAACAAAAACAATATATATGTCTAAAGAATAGGATTTGAACACGAATTTTTACACTATCGCACCACCTAAATATAATTATAAATAATTTTTCCTAATAAATGAAATTTATAACATGACAGGTTAATAATTTGATAGCGTAATTTTTTACATACAATCAGTATATACTCCTATAAATTAAATCAAATTACAAAGGAAAAAGTCTTACCATCGATTTTCTTTATAATTCGCTTTGCTTTTTGTGCATTCCTGTCACATTGCAGCCGAATCTTCAGTACCACAGTGTTAAATTGAGGCTAAACAATAACCAAAGAGAAAATAGCAGAAAGTTAGGAAAAAATCTAATAATCCAACCACAAATTTATTTATTTTATTGATAAAAAACTAAACAGTAATTACTGTAACTCCTGGCTTACTTAAATTATGATAAACACTATAAAGTGTACGTTAGAAGGGGAAAAAAAAGTAAATTACCTCCTTGGGCTTTTTATCTTCCCCTTTCTTCTCCTCGGCCTTTTTCTCAACTTTGTCATCGGATTTTTTATCTCCGTCGTCGTCGCCGCCGCCACTGTCCTTTTTGGGTTGAGCCGAAATGAGCTCCACCTTCTTCTTTGTCTTGTTTTCAACCATCTCCCGGAGCCATAAGGGATCCACATTCCCTTTTACCGTCAATTTCCCACTGATGTAATCCGCCTTTACGTCTTCCACAGCTTCAATTAAAAATAAATAAAAATTAGCCCAAACCTTCATATAATTTGCTTGTATCAGATTAAGGATCTGTTTGTCCGTTGAAAAGATTTTTTTTTCATTCAAAAATATGTTTGTCCATGAAATTTTGTAAGTTTTTGGAAAAAATTCGAAAATGAATTATTCAAAAACCAAAAAAATCATTTTGACTACGTTTTCAAATTTTAATTTTTTTTTTCTACTCACAAAAATATAAATGTATTTTCAAACATAATTTCAAATTTCAAATATCATTTTTCAACTTAACTCCAAATATTATTATTTTTTCATAAATTATAATTTTTATGTCCAAATGCCTACTAAATAATGTATTATTATGTAGATAATGATGTTTATTTAAATTAACTAGTTAAATAGTCTGCGCGAAGCGAATCAAAATAAAAGACAACATTTTCGTAACACTAAAACAATGTAAGACATACGTATGAAAAAATTAGAATAGAAAAGAAAATCCAAATAAAAATATCACATATATAATTTTTTGTACTTTTATAAATTAGGCCTTTGAATCCCGTTAAATGTTGGTCTTAAATAATATTATATTAATTATTGTAGATAATAATATACAACATACTCAGTATTATCCCACACCGTGGGGTCTGGAGAGGGTAGTGTGTACGCAGATCTTATCATGTTGTTGTTGTTGTAATAATATATATTAGTAATTGTATTTAGATGCAAATATTGGTCATACGTGATATTAATTATTACAAAGAAAAATATTTATCAGACCTAGGTAAGTCGATTACCTTCAAATCGGCGAATTGAACGTTTGGCTTTCTTGGCACAACCTTCACAATGCAAATCGAGTTTTAACAGGATGGTAGCGAGCCCATCGTCTAATTTTCCGCCGGCGTCACCGCCACTGCCGATGGTCTTCTCTCCAGCGTCACCGCCACCACCGGCGGTCATCTCTCCGGCTTCATTCTTCTTTTCTACTCCTTTGGCTTTGGTTACTTCTTTTTTAAGGAATTGGAGAATTCGTAGAGGCTGAATTAAGGGAATACTAGAGTTCGTAAATTTGGTCATTGAAAGGAATTAATAGTAGAATGGTATGAAGAGAGAAAAGAGAGGCAAAGTGGACAATATATAGACAATGAGTTAGTTCAGTTTCCTAATTAGTGTACTTATTTCACTATTTCAGGACAAGTATTTTAATAGGAAACCACCACCTCCCACACACTATAGGAGTAGGACTCTTTTTTCAGTTTTTCTTAGGGGAGAAAGTGGGACGCGTATGCATTAGGTCCCTTTCGGATTGTTATTACATAGGTATTAATTAATTTAACTACAATTAAGTTTAAAAATTGTGTGTCAATGCATGTCATAAATTTATTAATTTAATACATACACCACATAAATGAATTTCATAAGTATGTTAATTTGGTACACACCCTGAACAAATTCAGTGACAAACAAAATAATTATATTACACCTAACTAAATAATTAATTTTAAGAATCAACANATATATATATATATGCAAGACATATGTCTTATATTTATTGGTTTGATGTAAACACATGAAGAAACATGATATTTTACAGCTAATCATAAACTCCCTTCGGTTCCGACTATTAGTTGATTTGGTAAATTAAATACTTGTTTTAGAATATTTGATATTCACAAAAAAAACAAAAAGTAATTTATTTTTTATCTCTTTCTAAAATTCATTCTTATTTATCCAATTAGTAGAGTGTTTAGTACTCATATGTTTAAGAAAAATATATAGTATAGTTTAAACAAATACTCTTTTATATTTAAGATTATTAAATATCTTTTTAAGAGGTATGTAAAAATCTTAAAAAACATAATATAAACCGAAGATAATATTAGTTTTCATCTTTATAAGATGTGGTCACGTATATTTACTTTCCGGTAAAATTAATCGCTTTTAGTCCATACAATCTTCGACTAGCATAAACAATTGCTGGTTACGCGCGCACATATTCTTTTCCATTGTTACGACTAACATACGTTACATGAATGATAGTTTGTAAATCAGGTATATCCGTTAATACGTGTTATAGACGAACCAAAAATGTACTATTCGTAATTGGAGGTTAAAATATATGAAACAAGTTCAAATTTTCCCCAACTATCGACTATCATTTCCTCCGTCGACTTTCCCAACAAACATATATACATGTTTTATTCTCCTCTGATATTGTGTTCGACATCAACTCAGTAAGCGAAACTTCCATTGACATTAATATGTAATTTGACATTAATATGTAATTCCATTGACGTGTGGAATTACAGAACAAGAGACCCTGAGTAGGCGTTTGGACATAAAAATTGTAAAATTTCAAAATACAGGGAAAAAAAAATTCAAATAAAAATGGTATTTGAAATTCNAGAGAGAGAGAGAGAGACGCACACCAATTAATGAATCATGCCGTGTAGAGGAATGGTAACAAGAACTAAAATGACATAGTGAAAAAGAAGTTTGAATACATATCATGTGACTTCTATGTCATTTCTTAGGGGACCCCGGACCTCCATTAAAGGAAGCAGGCCAGTAGTAACTAGTAAGATCATCTCCGACCCTTCCCATTTTGTCATAACGGGGGCAATTTTTGTCATAATGAAACTCCAACCCTCCCTTATTTTTGCCTCCAAAATGGGGGATGAATAGTGTTTCTCCAAATATGGGGTACACTATTCATCTCCCCCATTACTATTCATGCATATTTTATTATTATTTTATTATTTAACTTTTTAAATTTATCTCTTTATATATACCTAATTATGTTTATGTAATATATTTATAATATTAATTTTACATCTTAACTTTGGCGTATAATTTTGATAAATTAATTTTCGTGCATTTATTATTTTTATGTAAAATTATAAGTTAATTTTATTATAAGTTATAATTGTACAAAAAATATATAATCATCTCAAAAAATGAATGGCGCGAATATTAAATATTAGATGTTGCTAAAATTGAAAGGTGCGAATATAAAAAATTAGATGTTGTTAAAATTGAAAAGTAAAAATTGAAAATACATTAAATGAAAATATATTAAAATTGGAAATACATGAAAATTGAAAATACATTAAATTAAAATACATAAAAATTAAAATTACAGTAAATAACATAATAACTTAGTAGGGAGGTATGTCGTTTCCAGATACACCAAAATCATTATAGTATTGAGTGAATGTGGCTGAGGATTGTTGTGGTTGTGAGTGTGGATATTGTTGACTTCTTTTATACATTATTCGTTGTTGTTCTTGTCGCATAAATTCACGATGAGTCGGATCGACAATAGAATCCATATCCATCATTAAAACTTTATTTTCTTCTTTCATTTCTTTTTCTCTTAATTTTTCTTTTTGAACATCCAAAACTTCTTTTTTTGCCTCGGTTGCATTATTCATCGCCTCAACCATCCGATTATTTTCTGATTGAATTGTCTTCGTATAATATGTATTTAATTAATCTTGTATCACAATGATTTCACTTTTATTTGAATTATTAGTAAATCTATAATAATTGCTTCCAAAATTATATTATTTAAAAATTTATGAAATTGTTTTAATGGAAATTATAAATTAATGAAAATAAAATATGGAATTTGTTTAATGGAATTTAAAAAATTAAAATTAAAATGAAAGACAATAATATAATATAAAAGAGAGAGAAGAATATAAAAAGAATATTCTCTTTTGGGGAAAAAATGAGGGAATGGTTAGAGTAAGTTGTCTTCAAAATGGGAAAATCGGACCAAAATGAGATAAAGATCGGAGATGCCCTATGTATTAGAAAATGAATATGAGTTAGCTAGCAAGGACCATTTTTGCCGTTTGGGAATTGGAAAGTGATGGCCTAAAAGGAGGGAAGAGAGAGGCCCCTACCGTGAGGAAAGAAGTTTCGTTTCGTGCCATTGATTTAGACTAGTGGTTCACATCGATCTTTTTAGTAAGAAGATGAAGAGTAATTAAGAAAGAAAGATCAAGAAACTTCGTTGAAGGCGTTTTCTTTTAGTACTGCTTCCCTTCCAATTTATGACCTAAAGTTCGGATTTACTACTATAAGCTATAATAATTAACAATTTAAAATATTAAAGTAAATACGAATAAATTGCAGTAAAAAATTTATTTGTTTAACTCTCAAAAGCAAAGAGTGTCACATAAATTGTGACATAAAAAATAAAAAATCATACTTTGCATCGAACAAACAAACTCCGTGTTATCTTTCATAGTATTACTACTAACAAATGATTTTTGATTCGTAAACGTTAATGTTTATTATTGTTTACCCATAAAACGGTACAGTTAAATTTGTTACATGAATTATAGATAAGTGAATTGATTTGACCCAAGAAAATATGAAATGAAACAGAAATAAGATTATGAAATAGAATTAAAGAAAACACAAGCTTGGCTATGAGCTTAGTCTTTCCCGTAGCAGACAATATTAAGAGCAAAAGAAAGTAAATAATTTTATAATTTGGAGAGCAGAATATATAGCTTTTGTGTACATAGTATTTTCTTGCCTTACAGTGGAGGCTAATTCTCCTATTTATAGCTATATATAAGGAGACAAGATCCCAAAATCAAATTCTACTTGAATGAAAATAAAACCGTCATTGGTGGTTGCATAACAGTTGGCTATAAATGCTGATATTCGTTGTAACAGATGCTCATTGAATGCTATCCGATATCAAATCTTCGAATATATTACCGGCTACTCTGCCTCCGGGATTCATCCAGCACCGGTCACATACTTGCATCTGATGCCAATTATTTGCTGACTCACATCCACTACAAGAAAAGTGTGAATTACCTGGGAATTTTACATGAAAATTTTTTTCGCATGAAATTTCTACGGATTTTCATGCGAAAATTTTAAATTCCTAAGTTGATGAATATTTTATCTGCGAAAAATATTTTTTCAGGCAAATTCCCATGTAATTTTGGCGCCAGTTTGCGCCAAAATATCACCTGGGGAATTATTTGGAAAATTTATCTGCAAGTATCATTTTTATAGGTAAATTCGCAAGTAAATAAATAACAATAAATTCCTTTGTTGTTTCGTAGAAAATTCCCTAGGTAAAGCTATCTACGTATTTAGCTGTGGATAATTACTAGAGAATTTACTTGGGAATTTTCATATTTGGGGAATTACCTGGTGATTGTTGGTCTGCGTAATTATCTGGAGATTTATTCTTTGGGGTTTTCCCGGAGATTTTCTTACATGGGGAATTACTTGAGAAATTTATAGTTTAGATATGATTTTTGCTTTGAGAATTTATTTGGGGATTTTCATGGGGATCTATCTAGGGATTTCGTTGTTGCAATTTTAGTTGTGAAATTTTCTTGGGGTTTTCCTACTTGAAACATTACTTGGGGATGTTTTCTCTCTAGATTCCTCTTTCAATTCAAATCGTTTATTATGTAATAATCTCACTCTAATAAGTTCTTGAAAAGAAAAGGTCTAAAGTAATATTTTTGACATAATTATTAATAAAATCATCATATTTAATTAATTTATTTCATGAAGATAATGTCATGACATATTTATCAATATTTAAAACTAAATATAGTTACTAATAAAATAATAAAATAATAATCATAAATCTAATTAATGTTAACAAAAGAATTAAATATGAAGAAATTAAATTAAAAACAAAATAATTAATCGAACTAATATCATTCGAACATAAACTAAATTGTGTATTATTGATTTAACGTAAGTATAGCTTTTAAGTAGAAAAAATATACAGTTACATTTATAATTAACGGTTAACTTATAAGTGAGACTTAAGTATTGAGTGATCTTCTAATTTAAGTATAGTAAATATTATAAGTGAGATTTAAGGATTGAGTAATCTTCTAACTTTATTTTCAAACGTACTATCTTGATTAACTAATAATATTATTGAAGTAATTGAATCTTGTGTTCGTAGTTAAAATTGGCAAAATAATTTTTACCCGTTACTTATGTACAGTGTGTTTAACTCTTGTTTAGAAGAATTATTATATAAAGTTTTAATGCGTTGTTCAAGGTATTTAAATGTCTCATTATCATTTTGTTCCTTATTTGAGACTTCTAATTCCCGAAATGGTATTTTTGTTATTTTTCTTGAAAGAAA